TTCTTGATCAACAACAAAGAGTTGGGGACATTTTGATATGTAGCCAGGTTACGTCACTGCCTTAAAATAGTGTGTTTTATAGCTGTGGGTCTTCCTCATCTCCACTGCCTTTTGTCCAATATGATATGTTCAAAGAATCTGAAACCAACTACTGGAGAAAGAAAATCAATCATTTTCTTTTGTCTCCATCTCCCCCAAAGGCTGATTTTTTAATTTTGTTTATTTATTTTTGTTTGGTTTTTTGTTTTGTTTTGTTTCTGAGAAGATTCTTCATGTCTAGTCTGTGGAGGCCGGAAACAGGGCCAGTTTAGCTCCAAGTGGACAGTTCACTTACGCAATATCTGGCTTGAGATAATGAAAGGCACCTGTAAGGAAACACACGCAGCTTTTTAGGTCATGCTGGGACAATTCACAGTTAGGGGCAAGATCAGCTACAGGCTGACAATGTCATATTTAATACCACGGTATCAAAGGATTGAGACTAATATTTTTATTCCTGAGACAAGTTTGACACAACTCTGTGTCCCGGGCTTATCCCCATATGATCCTGGCGCTGACCTCATTAAGAACATGTGTTTCTAATGCCAGAGGTTATTTCATTTTGGCCAACCTCTGTGTTTTACCTACTGACAATCCGGCTTTATGTCCCAGCAATTAATAACTGCAAGATGTTATTGACATCAGTTAAGAAAATAATTACACAAGGGAGCCTGAGCTGTAGCCATCAGCTAGCTGGATTTGCCACAAAACTGATACTGGGATGAAAGGCTTAATCACACTTCCAGGTCCCCTTTCTCAGGCAAGAGGTGATCTCTCTCCCTTCCAGGAGGAACTACCCCCTAGAACGTCCAAGGCTTACTTTGTCCATACTGCCCATACTGGTAGCCTGTGACAGGGTCCATACTGTAGCCTGTGGTGCTATAGGTGGGGGGACAATAGGGCTGAGATGTGGGAAGACTGTCCACATTCTTCATATGTTCCAGTCTCTGACTGCAGCTGGCTGACACCGTGGTCGTGGGTTCCAGGCCCCCAGTGAGAGGGGAGAGAGCATAGTCGGTCTGAGGCTGGTGCGGTACCCCACCGTGGTTGGTCAGAAGTCCCATTACCTGCAATAACAGGCAGATTGGAAGAAGTTAAAGTGTGGGCAGAAACAGATGGCAACCCAGAACCATCAAAAGGTCTTGAAAGGGCAACTTTTATGTCTTTACAGATCTGTTGAGGAGTGTTCTGAGCACTTTGACCTCCATTTAAAGTGGCAGCCACATGACCTCACCCAACGATAACATCTGACTGTAGTTTCAGAAAAAGGAAGGGGAGGGAGAAGGAAAAGAAGGAAGGAGAAGAGGAAGGCAGAGAAGGAGAGATTACACCATGTCTGCTGTGATAACATCAGACTGGAATTTCAAAGAGAAGTAAAGAAGTGACACAAAGAGGGAGACATTATATCAGTCTATACAGAAAAACTCCTAATATAGTACATCTGGACACCCGAGTGATTGTGTGTGTGTGTGTGTGTGTGTGTGTGTGTGTTCTCGTGTGCACATGCACAAACACACGCACGCACACTCAAAAGCACCCATACATATGAGTGCATATGTGTTTCTGGGGATTGGACTCAGGGACTTATACATGCTAAGCAAGTACACTACCACACAGTTGCAATCCCAGCCAACCAATTCAAAAGTCACCTGCACATATTTGAGTGTATGTGTAGGCACATATGTGTGCCTGTACATGTATATATGCACATGTGTGTACATATGTGTATGTGTTCATATGTACGTGTGTGCATATATATATATATATATATTGTAACTCTGTGGCAAATCCCTGAGTTTGACCTCCCAGCACTGTAAAAAATAGAAAATTAATAAATCTGTCAAGTTTTTGTGCATGTATCCTGAGACCTCCATGTCTTTTTTCATCACGTTCCCTCTCAGAACAGCTTCTCTTTGGTTCATCAATCAGCACCTAGAGATCATCCCTCTCCCCAGGGTCCCCTGGTGCTTCCTTCATTATGCCTTCTATGTCATCTCACTTTGCCACTTTGATTTGACACATGAGAGCCATGATATCTGCTGCATTTCCTACCACACCCCCCAACCCCCACTGCTTGGAAGTCAGTGATGCCAACCAAATGGTCAAAGATTCTTCAAGCAGACAGACATGGTGGCCAAGGTCTACAATCCAAGCACACAGAAGCTGAGGCAAAAGGATTGCCCTGAGTTGGAGGCTGACCTATGCTATAACTTGAGACCTTGTCTCAAAAAGCCAAAGCAAATCAATAGATCCTACAAGCACTTGCTTCTATTATCTATCCATTTCTTCCTTCTCAGACTCACGGTTTACACGTAAGGGTGCTGAAAAGGACACACGTGGGTTTTTTTTTTTTTTTTTTTTTTTTTGGGTTTTAAAAGGTGTCCAGATGTTTGAGGACACTATATCAAATAGTAATCACAGAGCAAAAACCCTCTGGTTAGACCCATGAAGCTTTTCCCAAATTCATATGCACTGGCCCTTCCAACCCTTTCATCATGGAATGTCAGTGGATAATTAATTCAAAACTAGAAAATGTCCACAGGAAAGAAAGTGACCTTTCCCAAAAAGCAACTGCAGAAGAAATCTACTAGTAGGTGAAGAACACCCCCCCACAAGAAAAACCGTCCAACTAAAAATGTATTTAAGTGAAGGCACCCCTCAGCTGCATCAAGGATCCTGCCCAAATAAACCCAGACCACAGCCCTCTGTGCTAAGCATGGAGTTCTGTTCACAGACAGGCAATTCTGGCAACAGACTCCTGGATCTAAGGGCTCTATCACACTAGTGTTGGAAGCTACTCATGAACCCCATAAAGCTTTCTTACTGAGACTGGAGAACAAGATCCCATAACTTCCTTTGGGGAAAGTTTACATAACCTTAGATGTAAACAAAATCTTAATAAAATTTTAAACTGATCCATCTTCAGTGGGCCACAGGGTACCATCCCAGAGGAGTGCTTAGTGCCTTTCTCCATCTAAAAGGTCACTCAACTCCCTGCTCAGCCTTTCAATTACTGATACAAACTCACACTAGAAGGCAGGCAAGAACAGTCAAAGCAACACAAGAAGTCCAAATTTTTGAAGTCATCCCAGGGATGAAAATTTGTTGGAGCTATATGGCAAGATGTGCAAAAAATAAAAAATAAAAAATAAAAAATAAAATAAAGAAAGAAAGAAAGGAAGAAAGGAAGGAAGGAAGGAAGGAAGGAAGGAAGGAAGGAAAAAAAGAAAAAAGTCTTATCAAAAATTTAATCATCAGTAGACAAGCATAGTTTTATTGGGGATTACAAGTAAGGGACCTTGACAACATCAAGTGAAAATCAGTAGGCCAACAGCTGCAGGAAGACAGTCACTAGAACACAGCCTCTAGTGGTACCCTGCCCAGCACTGTTGATGAGTTCATTTCATTTGCATTTTTTGAATGTAACTAGGAATGTATTTAAATGATCTCCTGGATGCTTACTACCTCTAGGGAATCCTCCTCCTTTTCTTCATCCTCTTCCCCCCCTCCATCCTTTGAGCTTGTATAGATCAATTTTTCAGTGAGTACATGGAAAATTCTTCAACTTTTGTTGGTTCACTAATTTACAAAATACTTTATTTCAATCCGAGTTAGGAGTGTCTATTTTTAAAGTCCTTAAAATATAATCTACAGCTGGGTGTAGTGGACCCATGACTATAATCCCAGCACTTGGGAGATAGAGGCAGAAGAATCCTGTGTTTAAGGCTGATCTCAGCCACAGAGTGACTTTGAGATCAGCCTGGTATATGGAACACCCTGCTTTCAACTCAAGAAGTACATGAGCTGGCCTGATGAAAAGAACAGACAGGGCAAACAAACAAGGGGAAAATGTGATTTTTCTTACAGAAGGGAAAGAGTGGGGGAAGGGCACATGTGTGCTGTGAATAAGCTGTGTCAAGTTAAACAAGCACATGGGAAAGACAATTTTGACTCTATCAGTCCTGAAAAGAAAACATTCAGTGTTATTGGGTAAAAAGGAATTAAATTTTAAATGAATGGTGTGCTTCAGGAAGATATTTATTTAAAACTTGGTTAGCCATATGTGACTTGAAGGGAGATATGGGATATTTAGGTAAAGTCACAATTCAAGAGCTGAGGAGTGTGGGCCTTCCTTGAACTATACAAATAGACTTCTGTAATAAACTTTCTAGGTGCATAACTTTGAAGGAAACAGTAATAATAATTTTTCCAAGGGGAAGGAAACAAAATGGGAGGCTTTTTTTGATGTTTCTGTTTGTTTAATTTAAGACAGGATCTCTCTATATAGCCTGGTTGTCCTGGAACTCACTGTGTAGACCAGGTTGGTCTTGAACTCTCCACCTGCCTATGCCTCCCACATACTGGGATTAAAGGTGTTCCTGGTTAGTCTTAAACAATGGGAGGCAACCATTAGCCAAAAATCCAGCTTATGATCTTGCTCATACTGCAACCTTTTGCAGTGTTCATGTTAGAAAAAAATTAGAACAAAATTTCACTCTAAGAACTTCAGATACAGCTATTGGAAGATAGAGAAAATAGAGCTGTATTCTGGACAATGCATAGATGGCTTTTAAAATGCTAAGTATTTGCAGAGTGGAGAAGCACAGCACTTTAATCTCAGTACTCTGGAGGCAGAGGCAAGTAGATCTCCATGAGTTCAAGAACAGCCTGGTCTACATAGGGCCTTTCAGGACAGCCAAGGCTACCTAGTGAGATCTTGTCTTAAACGAATGAATGAAGACTAAAGTAACAGCTTCTCCCTTAGGAAAGTCTTGAGTTCCACAGCCCTGTGACTGGTGTGAAGGAAGAAAGAGAACTTGAAACCAATTGTCCCAGGTCCCTTTCATTTCCTGATGCAGCCCAAAAGAGTGGAATCACCACACAAATGTTTATTTTCACTGTGACCCTCACATCTTAAGGGCTGGAAAGCAGGGGGTGGTAACACAGGCCTAAAATCTCATCTCTCAGAAGGTTGAGGCAGGAAAACTGCAAGATTAAAATCAGCCTACCTAGAGAGCCTGTTCTCAAAAGAGAAGGAAAACCAAGGGGTGGGAGGAAGGAGGAAGAAAGACTAATAAATAATTATCACGTTATTTGTCTCAATAATTCGTGTGTGTGTGTGTGTGTGTGTGTGTGTGTGTGTTTGTGTGTGTTGGTTTTCTTTTTTTTTTTTTTTACATTTTTGTTTTTGTTTTTTACATTCCAATCCCACTTCCCTCCCCTCCTCTCTTCCCATTCTCCCTACTCCCCCCTCCCCCCTCCCATCTGCTCCTCAGAGAGAGTAAGACCTACCCTAGGAAGTCTACTGCTAGAACCCTCTTCCAGAAACAGATGGAAGCAGATGCAGAAATCCACAACTAACCAATGGGCCAAGCTCCTGGAGTATAATCGAAGTGAGGGAGGAGCAACAATATGAACAAAGGAGTCAAGACCATGGTGGGAAAACCCACAGAATCAACTGACCCTAGCTAGTGAGAGATCACTGACTGACTCAGGTCTGACAAATGGGGAACCTGTATAAGACCAAACTAGACTCCCTTAATACAGGTGACAATGGTTCAACTGGGACGAGATATGAGGTCACTGGCAGTGGGTCCAAGATCTAACTCTAACGCACAAACTAACTTAGTGGAGCCCATTCTATATGAAGAGATACCTTGCTCAGTTTAGACACAGGAGTGTGGGGGGTGGAGAAGTGTCTTGATCCTTCCTCAACGAGACCGTGTGTTGGTTTTTCCAAGACAATTTCTTTGTGTAGCCTTGGCTGTCCTGGTCTTGCTCAGTAGACCAGGCTGACCTCGAACTCACAATGTTCTGCCTGCCTCTGCTTCCTGGGTGCTACGATTAAAGGCATGTGCCACCAATCCCAGCTGTCTCAATAGTTCATATTTTAAAAAATGCAAACACACCATCTTAATAGCCTGTCATTTAAAAATTAAAAAGAGAAATCTGTGGGGGAGGTGAACATATCACTGGAAACGGCATTACTTTTCCTTGACATAATTCAAAAACCTCAAATCTCTGAGGAAGGGTCCCGTTACACTTCTAAGTATGTCTCTTTAAAAGC